ATCTAACCTGTTGCACTTCAAACTACAAACGGAATCTGACCACTTTTTCATCTACCTCTATCACAACCATTTTCATCAAAGTCAAATTTCCCTTACACTCTTGAGATATTCTCCTAAGTAGTCTCCTTGTTTCTGCCCTTGGCTACCCTCAGTCTATTATTTATTTATTTATTTATTTTAATTTTGATCAGAGAGAGAGAGAGAGTAAGGCAAAGTGAGAAAGAAAGCCACCAGATCTGGGACTTGAAATGTGGTCAGCTATGTGGGAGTCCAGCGTCCTAACTACGACATCACCTGCCAACACCTACCCATCAGTCTATTCTTGGCCAGCAGCCAAAGTGAACCTGTTATATCCTAAATCAGATTATATCACATCTCCACTAAATACCCTCAGGTGGACTGCATATAATCCAGAGGAAAAGCCAAAGGTATCAAATATTAACTCCAAGACTCTGATCTGAATTTCCTTATCTCTCTTACATTACTTCTTTCTACTTTTTTCCAGTCACACTGGCCTTTTTTTTTTTTTTTCCTTTTGCAGAGGTTTTTGCTATAGGGTGTGTGTGCTCCCCAGAGAGACAGGAAGCAAGAAATCACCCCAAAGGGGAATGGCCACGCCTCAATCCCTTCTCCTTCATTCTCCTCTCCGGCTGTTGGGCATGCACACACACACGCGCCCAGCGTGAGTTTAAGCCACTGGGTCTAGGACTCAAACCATTATCGACTACATGGGAGTCCAGCGACATAGCCATTACGCTAACTGCTGGTCCCCACACTGGCCTTTTTGATGTTCCTTGAACATGTTAGGCAAACCCCACCTCGGGACCTTTTGCACTTGCTTTTTCTTCTGAAAAGCTCTTCTAGATAGACACATACTTAACACCTTCCTTTCCATCAGGTCTTATTCAAAGGTCACTTTTTTGGGAGAGACTTTGTCTCCCCATGCTAGGTATTAAACTACAATATAGGATTTATAATTGAAATAACTATACACACCAGAACTCTATTTTTGCTTTATTTTTCTCTACCTGCCATCACCTACCAGATTGTTTTTGCTTCTTTATTGTCTATATTTCCATACTATAATGTAAGCTCCATGAGAGTAAGGATTTTTGCCTGTTTTTGTTTGTTTGTTTTTACTTGCTACATCTCACAGAAAATAGTTTGGTATACAACAGACACTGAATAAATATGTACTGATCAGATAAAAGAAATGAGAAGAACCAGAATAATAACAGAAATAAAATTATATTCTTTTTTAAAAAAATGATTTATATTTAAGGAAACAGCAGTTAGCGTAATAGCTATGTCGCTGGACTCCCATGTAGTCGACTGTGGTTCAAGTCCCAGACCCGGTGGCTTAAACTCATGCCAGGCGTGTGTGCGTGCACGCCTAAGATCCCGAGAGGAGAATAGAAGAGAAGGGATTGAGGCATGGCCATCCCCTCTTGGGGGTGATTTCTCACTTTCTGTCTCTGTCTTCCTGGTGAGGGCACATGCCCTATAGCAAAAACCTCTCCAAAAAAAATTTATATTTAAGTATGTAAGTATGTGTGTATGATTTATATTTAAATATATAAATATGTATTTTTAAGTCAGTAGATACACTAACAGTAACGCCGTGTGTTTTTAGGCATCCAGGAAATGAGAATTATAAAATAAAATCCTTTCAAGGTTCCTAGAATCTGTAGCAGTCTAAAAGTCTCTAAGATACTTAATACTTGAATTATTCTTAATTTTGCTAATATAGAAAATAATTACTTTTTTATTATATTTTCTAGAATCCCTGACCCATCTGATCCTTTCCCCCTATTTTGTCAGTTCTCTACCCTCAGGTACAGTTCTAGAAGCCTGGCTTCATTTTAAGAATTTTCAGTAGCAAGGCGTAAGTGAAGTAGGTAAGAAAATCAGTAATGCTTAAATGGCACCGTAAAACTTCGCAATGTTTATTCCACACACTCAAGCGTTTCTTAACAGGCATTTAATTCTTTGTCTTTCAAATGAAGAGAATGTTTTAAATTAAACACCTCAAAATTCAGAAGAAACTCTTACAAACATTTTTAACAGCTGACAGAATTCTTTTACATATAGCATCTAGTGCATTACCATGACTACAATCTTGGCTCTGTGCCCTACAAATTTCTGTAAATATCTGCTGTGAAAGAACAAGGCACTGGACAAACGCACTATACAACAAGGTTCCAAAACCTCTCAATACCTCTTTAGGAGTATCAGCATCGTAGCCAGTATCATTTGGAACAGCAAGCTAGCTCCCAATAATTTTAAACTAACACATAAATGTAACACATCTACCATCTTGTTTCAGTCCAAAAAAGCAGCTGACAAATTCAAGGTACTTGTACTTAAATGCTGTAATCCTAAAATACACATGGTAGAAATACATCTTTTTTCTATGAATCCTTTTCCCCTTTTACAAACATCCTCCAATACCTAACTTTTATAACACAATAGATGATGCCAATACCGTAGTCTAATAAATAACAATGTGCTTTTGCAATCAGACCTGAATTTGAATTCTAATTCTCCCTCTACCTAGCTGTTTTACCATGAGTAGTTTTCATACACACAAATTCTCTGAATTTGAAAGAGGTCATTGAGAGTATTAAATGAGATAATACATGAGAATCACTCAGCATTAGGTCCTAGACATTAACACTCACTAAACATGGGGCCAGCAGTTAGTGTGGTAATTCAGGTGCTGGACTCCCACATGGCTGATCATGGTTGAAGTCCTAGCCCTAGCAGTTTGAGAATCATGCTGGGTTTGTACGCATCCAATATCCAAAATCCCAGGAGGAGAATGGAAAAGAGACCACAGCATGGCCATCTTTCCAGGGGTGGGGGGTGTGGGGTGTGTGTGGGAGTGTTGTTCCTCACTTTCCCTCTTATCGTCTTTCTGTCTCCCGGTGGCAAACACATACACCCTCTGGCAGAAACCTTAAAACAAACAAACAAACAAACACACAAAACTCACTGAACATTAGCCTCTATTGCAAAATCTTTAAAAGTTGGTATGGAATAAGCATTAAACCTTGACAGTCCTTTTATATGCCATATCTCATAAGGTCCCAAATTTTTATGCATCTGTATATAAAGGAAGGCTCCTCCCTTTTTATCCTTGTTGCCTGGACTAACTTTCAGATTCTGGTCATTTTGAATCTGGATTATTCTAACTAAACTACTCCCCCGCCCCATATTTTTCCTACTCTTTTTCTTACCTTAATTCAATAATTTCAAAGTCATTTGGGGGGTCTTCAAATCATAATCTCCCCATCTGTTTCAAAATTTTAACCAGTACTTTTCAAAGTATATGTATTTCAAAGTATTATAACAAGTAAAACAAGTACTTTTCAAATACCCACTATCTAGTAATGGGCTAGGTACCAGAGGCACAACCGCAAACAAAACTGGCACGAGTAGCCTAGTAAAAGCTTTACTTTGAATAACAATTCTTTCACATCCTAGCTTTCCCTTTTTTATTTAATTACAGAGCATGCATGTGCATGCCTGAGAGAGAGAGAATGAGAACCAGCAAGACCTGGTTTTGCCACAATCCATTTTTCTCCATCCCTCTTTCCTGTGGAGATGTGTACACATGCCCAGCATGCTTTTCGAGCAACCAGGGCTAGGATTTGAACTACGGTCAGCCATGTGGAGATGGGGCTCGTAATGCCTAGCACTTAACCATTCCACCATGGGTCCAGCCTACATTCTATATTTCAAATCATCTCATATGAATATCAAGTTTCATTAGAACCACCTGCAACATAGCAGAAAAGATAATGCCAGCATTGCAGTAAAGTATAAAGTATGAATTTTATGATCTAAACTATCTGAAATACGACCCTTATTAATCATGTGTTCCTAGGGGGTAAGTTATTTTGTCTTTCTATGTGCCTGATGAAATGTGTATACTATAATACCATTTTACATGGCTATTATGTAAACCGAATGAGATAATATGTGTAATCTGTCTCAACTAACTTTTCCCACCTAGTACTAGCAACTTATTAATACTGGGATCAGCACGTGCCATAGTGGTTAAGGTGCTAGACTTCCAGTTAGCCAACACCAGTTCAAGTCCCAGACCTGGTGGATTGAAGATCATGCCAGGCATGTGTGTGTGCATGCCCAAAATCACAGGAGGAAAATGGTGGAGAAGGGATTGCAGCGTAGCTATCCCCCTGAGAATAATTTCTCACTTTCCCTCTCACTGTCTCTCTCTCTCTCTCTCTGGCAAATACACACATCCAATGGGAAAAAACTTTAAAAATATATTTTTAATGATTACTATTATATTCCCCTCTCCAAGCCTCTCAAAATAATATGCTATGGTCACTGTACTCTCTTCTAACTTTGTACAATTCCTATATCCTCTCTTCCTTTAAGCTTTTCCATATTGAAAGAGAAGTTGTGAATAGCAACAATTCTACTCTAGCTAGATTTAGAACTCTCATAAGAATTTTTGGTCTGATTATAAATTTTGTTTCACATTTATGTACTCAAGAAAAGAAAAAGACATACTCCTTGATTTGTAAATCATACTAACAGAACTGTTTATTAAGATAACAAGTATTAAATAGATTTATTATAAAATTTAAATTTCTAGAAAACACATTTTCAAAACTGTTGGGTTATTGGAAAAGTCATAACGCATTTTCGCACAGAAAAACTTAGAATAAAATATGTCATGACTCTTCTGACAACTCGATATATGACACCCAGTGAGGCAGCTAAACATAAAATGAGATTACTACAGAAGTGAACTAAAACCAGGCTTATTGAACTCTTAAGTTTTTATTAGCTAAGAATATGAAATCTATTTCATTTCTAATAACTCACTGTTAGACATCAAATTTTATGAACTATGCATTTCTGTATAAGTCTATAGCATTGCAATTGACAAATAAAGCTTCGGACCAAATTCGTGGTATTTGCTTATATGTAAATGAATAAATACAATTTAAAGTTTTACTTACTCAAATTCTGTGGCATAATATTTAAGAAAGCCCAGTAAGAGGTCCCCAAGAGCTGATTCATTTTTCGAGAGGTAAGGAGGAACATTACATGGTGCTTGATGTACAAGGTGCAGCTGTACAGCAGGACTGAAAGTTTCCTGTCCAAAAAAAAAAAAAAGTTAAGAATGTAAAGGTAACATATATATATGCTTAAAAAATTTTGCAAGTCCTGATATATAGTCTCTGAAAAAGAAACAAAACATTTTCTTTGTGTTAGCAATTTGGAAACTTGAAGATTTTCTTGTGCTAAAGATTTCACTAGTATATCAAGCAGGCCAGAATGTACCTGAAAAACTAAGATACTCTAACTCCTGACTTGGCTCTATCACTTGGTTAATGAAACAGATCCTTAGGAAGCAAAATATTCTCTAACTTATAAATAAAACTTTACTATTAACATATATACCAAGTTTCCACCCGATAACAACAGATTTCTTTACATATGTATCTCATTCTTATTTCTACAAGAAACATTGTGCTCTATGTATGAGGTTGAATCAAACACTAAGTGATAGCTTTTCCCAATTGCCATATAAAAGTAAATTCAATATATAAACAGTAGCGATACTTATTTTATTATTTTTTGTTTTATTTTGTTTTTGTATTTCTGTATCTTAGAGGAAAGAGATTATAGGTATTCAACATGAACTGAACTTGAAAAGATAAGGCAAGGAAAATAAAGACAGGAAGCATACCAACAAGTGATTTTTGGCCAACTTTCCCCACAATATTTATTTTTTTAAAAAAGAAATTATTTAATTTTCTTTATTATTGTTGTTGTTATTATTGTTGTTATTATTATTACTTATTTTTGACCAGAGAGAGTGCAAAAGCAAGCCACCAGGTCTGGGACTCGAACCGTGGTTGGCCAAGTGGGAGTGCAGCACCTTAACCACCATGTTACCTGCTGACCCCATCACCACAATAATGCTAAAGAAAGATACTATTCACTTGCAATCCAAGCTCAAACAAGACACTTCTCAGAAAGAACACTAATTATCACTTATACTTTTTGCCTATGGTATGCCATTCATTTTCTTATCTGATCTTTTACTTATTAAGAGCAAATTATGGCTTTGAAATAAACTATATAAACGATAGAGATTATTATTCAATAATATATATCCATAAACTAGACAATCATCTCTCCAAAATAATTCACACAGTGCCATTAAGAATGACTATATTCCTCCACTACCATCAGAGTAGAAACAAATGTTTTTTAAAAAGTCGATTGATTAAGGCATCCAAAGGACAACTAGAGATAAGGTTGCCACTATCTAATAGATCAACCTCAGGGTCAAAGATATCAACTCAGCTAACAGTGTCTCAATAACTCCAAGTGAAACAATAATAAAGCAGTAGCACAGAGAAACAGTACAGTGCAGCATTTATGCCAATCCTCAGAAGACATTAGTAAAACAAAGGAGCAAGAAAATAAAAATACCGCCCCCTTTATCTCATTACCTATAATTTTATCAATAATTTTCAACTACCAAGAATATTTATTTCTTGTAGAATAAAATTTCCATTTCAGCTATAATTCCCAAAGCTGGAACTTCTAAACTTAGGACTTCCCCTTATATTTCTAACAGTTGTAATATTACAGTTTAAGGCTCCAGTAGAAATTTTTTTTTAGTGTACATTTCTTTTAGAACTATTTTATTTAACTTTATTTATTCATTTATTTATTTAAATTTAACCAGAGAGGAACAGAACAAGAGCAAAAGTGAGAGAGAAAGCAAGCTGCCAGGTCCGGGACTAGAACCGTGGTTGGCCGTGTGAGAGTCCAGCACCCTTAACCACCATGTCACCTACTGGCCTCATCCAACAGAAATTTTAATTGTCTAGTCTAAGTTTGGAGTTAGAGGCAAGAGGAGAATAGGAGTGAAGCCTCAATTTGTAATAAAGAGTAAAGGCAAAATAAAAGCAAATATAGTTTCTATCCCCAACTTAGTCTCTTGTTAGGTATAAGTAAACTGGACTTAAAGACAATATTAATTTAAAAAAATTGTTAAATTTAAATATGTTTGACAAATAAAAGGTATAATGTTAATGGCGTGATTAGAAGAACAGATCACTGTTTAATATCTTTTCTAAAAGCCTCTAATTTTAATTTCTAGCATAATAAGCATTGAATTTATGAACTGATGCTACAGTGTAGGTTTTTTTTTGTTTGTTTCTTTCTTTTTTTTGCTATCGAACACACATGTTTGCTACAAAGAGACAGGGGGAAAGAGAAGTATACCGCCTCCACCAAGGAAGATGCTACACCACAATTTCTTCTCCATTCTCCTCTTTGGGTTTTGGGTATGCACGTACATGAACCCGGCATGTTTTTCAAGTTGCCGGATCCAAGACTCAAACCACATAGCCAGCCATATGAGATCCAGTCACCTCAACCAGATACCACCAGCTGGCCCAAGAATCATTTTCTTATCTGGAAGTATAACAATTTTTGTACTTCAAGTTTTTTTTTTTTTTCCAATAATTAAAAGAAAAAGATGAACTATGATGAGGTATAAAATTGAAGAATTATAAGATCTGCTCTATTAAAATGAGGAATGACCTTGGAACCAACAGATTTGCCTGTCTCCTCTCTCTCTCCCTCTTTTTTTTTTTGTTTGAGAGATTTTCACTGTAGGGCACGTGCGCTCGCCAGACAGACAGAGAGAGACATAGAGACAGAAAGCGAGAAATCACCCCCCAGGGGGGATGGTCACGCCGCAATCCCTTCTCCTCCATTCTCCTCTCGGGATCTTGGGCACGCACGCACACACGCCTGGCGTGAGTTTTAAGCCACCGGGTCCGGGACACGAACCGCAGTAGACTATGTGGGAGTCCAGCGACACAGCCATTACGCTAACTGCTGGTTCCCTCCCTCTTTTTTTAAAAGAGGTTTTGGCCTTAGGGCACATGTGCTCACCTGAGAGACTGAGACAGTGAGAGGGAAAGTGAGAAGTCACCTGGGGGTGAGGGGAGGGGGATGGTCATGCCGTAATCCCTTCTCCTCCATTCTCCTCCCAAGACCTTGAACATATACACACCCACCCAGCGTGATTTTCAAGCCACAAGTTCCAGGACTCGAATAGCAATGTAACCGTTATGCCATCTGCTGGCCCTGGCCCATCTTCTCTAATCCCACTGTTTTTTTTCATGGTCAGGTACAAAGAACCATGCCATGCTTACTAAGGGAGAACTAAAAGAGAAATACAAACCGAAAGAGAAAATTAGAGTGCTCCTAAAAGAAGCTATAAAACAAATAGAAATTCTATCATATCCCTAAGAAATCCCCAGTTTTGGTAATCATTCATATTACAGAAAGTCTCTGCCTTAAAGATTTCAACAAAGAATCTTTGTATAATTGCCAGAGATTGCCAAATGAGAAAAGGAGAAGGCAACCCCAGTGGAGCATAGCCATGCCACAATCCCTTTTCCTCCATTTCTCCATCTCATCAGGATTTTAAGCACGCATACACACCTGTCTAGCAAGTTTTTCAAAGCAAACCAACTATGGTATGGCCTGAATTCAAACTATGGTTTGCTTTATTGGATCCAGCTCTTTTAATCACTAAGGCTACAGGGTTGGTCCCAGTAAAGAGTGTCTTTAAAAGGGAGCTTTCACAATGCAGTTACATGTTTTAAGAAAAATATATGCTATTTCAGAGAGGATAAGAATAAGGGAATACTTAACTTTAGCTAGTATGTTAGGAAGCACATAAAAAGCAATCCAAACGTCAGAGAGCGAATGGAGTCTAAAATGTACAATCTAAATCCCAGGAAAAGCTACTTATAACTAGTATTATCTATTTATTCAAGAAATAGATTTCTGGGGGGGGGGTTACCAATATTTACTGCTGGTTGATTTTTCTAAGTAAACAGAAGATTTCCTTACCGTATTTTTTAGGTTGCTGTCTTACAGTGAATTTCTAATAACCAAATGTATAAAAACGTACTGATTCATTAAATAAATTTCCAAAATGATATTTAAATGTTGATTTTTTTAAAGATACATAATCTACCATTTCTCTTCAATGACAGATTAAGAAAATGTTAAGTACTAAATCACGTGAAAAACATCTGAGAAGTCTCATTGTATCAAAAATGTCAAAAACAACTTTTACCAGATTCCAAATATCAATACAGGTAGATTTCATCATTTTTCTTTTTCTTTTTTTTTTTGGGGGGGGGAGAGGGTTTTGCTATAGGGTGCGGCACTCCCCAGACAAACAGACAGAAAGTGAGAAATCACCCAAATCACACCAGGAGGGACGGCCACACTGCAATCCCTTCTCCTCCATTCTCCTCTTGAAATCTTGGGCTCGCACGCACACAAGCCTGGCTTGAGTTTAAGCCACCAGGTCCAAGACTCAAACTGTGGTCAACTACACAGGAGTCCAGCGACATAGCCATTACGCCAACTGCAGGTCCCGACACCATTTTTCTAATGCTGTCCCATATTTACTTTATTCTCAAAGTTTAAAATTTGGACAACTACTTTCTGGAGTAAATTAGAATGGCTAACCTTCTATTAACTGTTCTTATATGAAATATTTAAGAGATTTCTGCCTGAAAAGAAGAAGAATTAAGTAGTATCTTGAAGATCCTGCTAAGCTATTGTACTTCCATGCAGGCCACCACTAATCTCCAGATGTATGTGAAAAATGATCATTAGAGGGGCCAACAGGTGGCATGGTCATTAACAAAGGCACTGGATTCCCACATAGCAAACTGAGGTTCAAGCCCCAGACCTGACAGCATGAAAATCACACTGGGTGTGTGTGCACGTATGCCCAAAATACCAAGAGAATAATGGAGAAGGGACTACAGCATGACCATCCTCCTGGAGTGTGATTTCTCACTTTCCCCCTGTCTGTGTCCTAGGGCGAAAAACAACAACAAAAAGAATATTAGATTTTCTTTAAATTGTATCTGATTTTAGGGGAGGGGTTCTTTTTTTTTTGCTTTTTCTTTCGTTTAAGGTTTTTGCTACAGGGCACATGTGCTCAGGATGGAAAGACAGAGACAGAAGCAAAATTCACCACCCAGGGGAGATGGCCATGCCACAATCCCATGTCCATTCTCCTTTTGGGATTTTGGGCATGTACACAAATGTGCCCAACACTGAATTTCAAGCTGTCAGGTCGGGGATTCGAACCACAGTTGACTACATGGGAGTCCAGCAACATAACCATTTTCACCATCTGCTTGTTCCTTTAGTGAGATGTTTAAAGTTCTAAAAGCAGTATTTAGTAATAAGTATCTATTGTAAGGATACAAAATAATCAATGTAAGTATCAAACACATTATACCATTTTTTTAATTGCCAGAGCACACATGTGCTCCAGAGACAGAGAGAGGGAGGAAACCACCCCCCCAACGAGGTATGGTCTTCCCATAATCCCTTTTCCTCCACTTCTCCAGCATGACAAAATTTTGGGCATTTACACATGCATAGCTTGTACATCTTTCAAGACATCAGATTCAGGATTCAAACCCCCATCGACCATGTAGGATCTATCTCCCTTAACCACTAGGCCATGGGACTGGCCTACCTATTTTTAAAATAAGTTTTAAATAATTTATCATTATTTTGATATTTTAAATTTTGAAAAGAAAATACAGAAATGACTACAAAACATGACACAATAAACAACAGGTTCCAAAGCCAGTTCCATGGCCTTAATACCCATAGCAAGCCCTGGTAGATTAGCAGGTATGCTGTAATTTGCATTCAGGTGTGATCATATCATAACCACTGTTAAGGTCGAGGCTTACATGGACATGACTTCCTATCTTCTTTTATGTAAGATTTATATATACATATATCTATATGGAACCTATAAATTGATCAGTAGAGTACGTTTTCAGAGGTTCATCTGATGGAACAAGCAAAATGGCTTGTTTATTAGTAATAATGGCCATCATTTACTTAGTATCCATGTCAGAAAACTGTAAGTTTTATACACAATTTCTTCATTCCTGAAAAAATAAACTTGCTACATATTGTCCCTGTTTCACCAGTGAAGAAATAAAACTTAGAAAGTTTACATGACTGTATAAATAAGCTGGTATAAATAGTTTTGAGAATTATTTGAAAAGGTTACAGTAACAAGAAAGAAATTTGGTTTCTTTACAAAGGAAAACACAAAGTTCTTCAAAATTTTGTGCTTCTCAAATATAATTAAAATAGGATATTATTTTAAAAATAAAACAATTTTGTGCTGGAATAAAATTTGTTATTATATCATCTTTTTAGTCATTTTCCTATTTTCTTCTCAACTGTTGTTAAATAGCAATGTAAAAACTACCTATAAAATGTACTAATGGCTGCGTATATTACCAGTGATTCAAGCCTTACAACGTGATTTGTTGTTTTTCTTGAGAGATAGGGCGCATGGGGGAGACAGCTGTTTGTGCTAATATAATCCTATTTCTTCACCTAGTGATGGGAAAATAGATTTAATACCATTACAGGTAAAGAAATACCTTTTCTTGATAATTTTGAAACACAAAAGTGAAAATGGGCTGTTCAAAATAGAACACATTCTCATTAAGAATCTGCATACCTTATCTAAAACAAATGTCTTGGGGACCAGCAGTTGGTGTGGTGATTAAAAGAAATGTCTCTGACCCCAAGGATGATACAATGACTTAATAAAAGTATTGGGCCAGTATTTTACATTACCAAAAAGAGTTTCACATAGCATAGTGTTTTGAGAATTTTATTGAAGCATTTTTCAATACACAATAATAAGATTGTTTAAGACCAATTTTAACTATTAGAGAAACATATGGACATTAGGATTTCTATACTGAAATCTGGATCATAAAGAAAAATAAGATTGGGAAGGGACCAGCAGTTGGCATAATGGCTATGTCGCTAGACTCCCGTGTAGTCAACCACAGTTCGAGTCCCGGACCTGGTGACTTAAACTTACGCTGGAAGTGTGTGAATGCATGCCCAAGATCCCAAGAGGAGAATGGAGAAGGGACAGTGGCGTGGCCATCCCCCCGGGGGGGTGATTTCTCGCTTTCTGTCTCTGTCTTTCTGGTGAGCCACATGCCCTATAGCAAAAACCTCTCCAAAAAAAAAAAAAGATTGGGACAATAAAGTAAAACAGACACAAGCTTCATCTTTGATCTTTAGAATGAGCTAAAGTGTCAATACCTTTTAAGAGACAAGGAACAGTCCAGAACACAGCTAGAAAAAATTAAACTACATTTCTGTATTTTCTGATGCTTCATTTGTCACACTGCATATGACAGCATAAAGACTGATCTTTAGCAGTATCAGATAGTCAGCATAGTAGTTCTTCATAATAGCAGAAATATGTTTTCAAGAGGAAGAAGATAAATCCAGATTCCAAAAGGTTCTTGTAATAATTTCTTGTAGTAGATAACCCACCAGAAACTGAGAAGTCCCCATTACAAGACTCTACTGCAGTAAATCTTTATCATTCAACACTTTGCACATGCATATTCCAATAATAACTAAAGTTCAAAAACAAGAACATGAGTTCTCAATTATGATACGAAATATTAACTGAAATGCCACGTCAGGTACATTTATTATATTTTGTATGATACAATGAAATAAGTTCTTTGAAAATTGATCATCAGGGCCAGCAGTCAGTGTGGTGGTTAGGACAGCTGGATCCCAAATGGCCAACTGCACAGTTTGAGTCACAGACCTGGCAGCTTGATAAAACACACTGGGTACATGTGCATGTGTGTCCAAAATCCTGAGAGAAGACTAGTGAAGAAGGGATTGCAATGTGGCCATCCCCCTAGGAGGTGATTTCTCTGTCTGTCTCTCTCTCTCTCTCTCCAGGGAGTAAAAGTGCCCTAAGGCAAAATTTTAAAAAGAAGAAAATTGATCATCTAAGCTGACTAGTAATATGACCACTTTGTAATATGACCACTTAGTAAATTTGGAAAAAAGATCTTCTAGTAAGTGCGTGAAATTAACAGATAAAAATTATATGATTTCAGAAGATTGGTCAAACAGTCCAAACAAGTAACTTAAATATTTCCAAATAAAACCAGGAACAAGGATGACTATGGAGGAAAACAGAAATGGTAGGACTGTAAAACAAGGAAACAGAACTCTAGAGAAAGAACATAACAAAACTGGAAAAGAAACAAGATGATTCATTTATTAAATAGATTATGAATACGTACATTACCTAAGTTTCTCTAAACTCAAACCTGAGTACATACTAAGTTTTTTCTAGTAGATACACTTCATTTCTTCATTGTTTCCAATTAATTTCAACAGGATTCTTAATATTATTTAGGTAAGAAGAGTGTATTAATGTTACCTCTTTTGGTGTATTACTTGGCAAGGGCAAGTAAAAGATAAAAAGATCATCCAATTGTTCAACTTAATTTTTCCCCAGCTTTTCAAAGTACAAATCTAGTGGGCTGAAAAATTTCTGAGTTACTGAAGAAATGCTGTTAAACTATATTTTAAAATAGTATGAAGAAAATCAGAATAAGGCCAAAAGGATCATGACTGAGTATACTTAATCCCTACTAGTCATAAATCATGAGCATTATGCAAAAAAAAAAATCCAGTCTATCTGCTGATAACCAAAGTGTCAAGTGTTCTAAAAAAAGTACACGAAATACTTTCATGTTCTAAGAGCCAATGCCCCAGCCTAGACGATGTTATCGTGTACTTAGCTTACTATGTTTATATTCACATTAATACTTAAAATAGAACTACATACAGTTGATATAAAATGTATTATAATAATTCATAAGAAACACTTACTGGGTAAATTTTTTGGAGGGATGGAAGGATGGGTTCAGGTAGGGCTATAAAAAGAAAAAGTGTAAAGCTTCCGTGATTCACATGATTCATTTTCCAATGCAATAATTTGTCAGCTATACTCCAGGTATGAGACTATAAGGAATTATGCTAAGATTCAACAGTATCCATATATTTCATTAAGGAAATCCTGTTCCTTAAAAGTTTTTAATTCAAAGTATGTCTAAGTTGACAATTAAAGTTTTTTTTAAAACAAACGATGTATACTCCTATATAAAGCAATGTTCCTTTCACAGTTTCAAAAGAATAGGCTATTGATAAAGGGACACATGTCATTTGGTCTAACATCAGACACACATATAAAATAAGCAATAAGCAAGACAAGGATTATTCTACAGAATAGACATTGTTAAGATGGATGTAGCTATCAAAATTATAATTTCAAAAGTATAGTTTAATGATACCATATGATGAGAGAACAATTTTAATTCTTTTTAAAATTTCTGCTATTGAACAATAATACCAAAATTAAGACGGTTCTAGGAAATTGATCTATTGAAAAAAATTAAAACTGAAAAGAAATCAACTTCATTAATACATTTTTTTAAAAGTATGCTTTAGTAAAGGTAAAAATCTAAATCAGGAGACTGCAACAATCTGCTATAAAATAAATACAATACAAAGGTGTCATTATCCTCATGTTACCAGAGTATTTCTGTCATTCTTCACCATTCAATTTTATGCATTAATAGTAATTTCACATTGTTACAATGTAAATTGAATAATTTAAAGACAAAGTGCCTAACATTCACAATGTAAGAAATAACTATAAAGTACAATGTCTTGCAAATAATAAAACATAAGTAATAGATTTTCTAATTCTCTTCAATATTAGAGACCAAATATAGTACCAGATGATTTCTATTTAAAAATTGGAAATGCATTACATATAAGTAAACTAACAGAATGTTTAATTCATTTTTAATTTCCTATTTAGCAAAAGCTTTCAAAAAGGACTTTTGGGCTACATTAATGTACATGTAATCAACCACTATGACCATTTTATATGGTCTCCATTATGACAAGGATATATACATTTATATCACACAGTACAGAGTATGATGCTTTATTTAAATTTCCCTTCTGTATCATACCTCATTCCTAAGTTGAAAATTTAAATAAAATGAAATTCTGTGAGAGTCTAGATAGTTGTAATGTATAACTGAAAATTATCAAGAGTAAATAACTCATAAGTTACTTACCAGACTCACTCTCAGGAAGTCTCTCTCTTGATATTTATATGTTCTCACCCCAGAGACATTCAAATGCTCAAAATTCTAAAAGGCCTTCCAAGCATACTCCAAGCCCTAGTCATTTTCATTCTAAATGCCTCTGTATTTGTATAGCACTTTTTAATGACTTTCTAATAATTTGGTTGTAATACAAGAAGTCAATGGGAAACTCTTACTAGAAATTAGTTTACTTAAAAACTTGAATTTTAGGGACCAGCAGTTGGCGTAAGGCTATGTCACTGAACTCCCATGTAGCCGACTGCAGTTTGAGTCCCGGACCTGGTGGCTTAAACTCAAGCCTGGTGCATGTGCATATATACCCAAGACCCCAGGAGAATGAAGGAGAAGGGATTGTGGCATGGCCATCCCCCGTGGGTGGGTGATTTCTCATTCTCTGTCGCTCTCTGTGTGTCTGGAGAGCACACGTGCCCTATAGCAAAAACCTCTTAAAAAAAAAAAAAAAAAAATTTGAATTTTAGGGCCAGTAAATGGCATGGTGCTTAATGAATGAATTGGATCCCACATGGTCAACTCCATAGTTAAGAGTCCTGGACCCCGCTGCTTGAAAAACATACCTGGGGACCAGCAGTTAGCATAATGGCTATGTCGCTGGACTCCCACGTAGTCGACCATGGTTCAAGTCCTGGACCCGGCGGCTTAAACTCACGCTGGGCACGTGTGAGTGCATGCCTAAGATCCCAAGAGGAGAATGGAGGAGAAGGGATTGCTGCATGACCATCTCCCCTGGGGGGGGGGGGTTTTCTCGCTTTCTATCTTCCTGACGTTCTCTGTCTGTCTGGCGAGCGCACACACCCTATAGCAAAATCCTCTCCAAAAAAAAAAGAAATGACATACCTGATGTGTATGTGTGCATATGCCCAAAATACTGAGAGAAAATGGAGGAGAAGATATTGCAGTTTGCCCATCTCCCTAGGGGAATTTTTTGTTTTGCATCTCCCTCTGTCTCTGTCTGTTCCCAGTGAGCACATGAGCCCTACAGCAAAATAGGAAGAGAAAAAAAAGTATTAAGTGTGTGTGTTTCTGTCCGTCTATCTATGTGTCAGAGGTGGGGAGGGGTTAACAAGGTTTTCTGTTTTGGGATAATCTATCCATTCTGAAAGTCTATCCTTACTTTATTAATGCTAACATGCAACATCTTTTATGAAATCATGGTAACGGTCGGTAGCACTTTTTGGTTCTGATAGCTAGTAAAATAAAAACTCTAGATAGGTTTTGTTTTGTTTTGTTTTTTAATTTTACTATTTCCTGAAATCTAAATGTCTAAAAATTATACCATAATACACAGGTCAAAGAAAATGTTAAAAACACTATTTAAGAAAACAATGTCCCACAGAGTAGCAGTTAAGACCTAAACATAGGGAGCCAGATCCCAGGTTGTTGACTGTGGCTTGAATCCTGGCCCCAGTAGCTTGAAAACCACAATGGGGAACAGCAAGTGGCACGGTAGTTGAGGCGCTGGACTCCTATAAAGTTGACTGTGGTTTGAGTACCAGACCTGAGGCTTGCTTTCTCACTTTCCCTTTCATTCTCTGTCTCTCTCTAGTCAAATTAAAACTAATAATAAATAAAATAGTTTTTTTTTTTTTGAAGAGGTTTTTGCTATAGGGCGCATGCGCTCACCAGACAGACAGAGAAAGCGAGAAATCACCCCCCAGGGGGGATGGCCACGCCACAATCCCTTCTCCTCCATTCTCCTCTCGGGATCCTGGGCACGCGCGCACACGCGTGAGTTTAAGCCACCGGGTCCGGGACTCGAACTGCGGTCGACTACGTGGGAGTCCAGCGACATAGCCATTACGCTAACTGCTGG